TCGTCCACCCCCCCCCTCCCTCACCAGATAAAAGACGCCATTTGTCATTGGACATATACCAGAGCTCATGAGGGATAAATTTGTATGGTTGAAGCAAGAACACAATTTTCAAGGAAGGGAGTCAGCCCTATGTGCCGCGAAGGTTGACGCCAATGATTTGATTTCAGGTGCTCCATACAAGTCTTCGTCGAGTATTTATCAGTGCATTCGATTATTTTTATGCAACACAACAACTGAACCTTAATGTATCATAAAATATTTATATGTTGTAATACTTTCAGAACATAAAAAAAAATAGGTAGATAATATACTTTGTTATTAAATGTATCGCTTTCCCACTCACACACTATATATATATATATATATATATATATATATATATATATATATATATATATATATATATATATATATATATATATATATATATATATATATATTCTGTTTTATGGATTAGCCGTACCCCAGAGGCGACCCTTCCCGGCGCCCGGGGACAAACTTTCGATTTGGACCCCGCCCCCTCAAACTTTCGATTTGCACAACCCCTACTCAAACTTTCGATTTGTTTTTCCAACCCATTTTGGAGTCCCCTAAGGTCGCCGCCCGGGGACATATGTCCTCCCCCCCCCCCCCCCCGCCTACCCCCCTCGCTACGCCTCTGAAATACCCACATTGTGCGTACGGCTAATTTATACAGGCTCTCCATGCAATGTTACCAGCTGAATTTCAACAATGAACTGAAATAGAAAAGTGGCCATTCAATAATCGTTTGAATACATTCAGCTTTTCGACTTTCGTTTTCCCTTTATGTAACGTTTCAATAGTTTCTCTTTAATATTCCAAGGCCGACTACCCAGTGTTGCATAATGTTGCCAGATCAATAAGGAAACCGCTTGTCCCAGTTGAAGTGAGAACACCTTTGTGCGTCTGTATGAATGTAGTTATTTTTTTTATATGATAGTGTGTTTAAGGCATGTGGTTGCGCATACATGTGTATGTGTGTGTGTCTGTGTCTATGGGTGAGTATAAGTGGATGAGTGTTCGAATGAATGTGTTTTAAGTATGAGTAAGCTTATACTTGTGTAGGTCTGTGTGCGTGTGTGTGCCTGAGTTTTCGCGTGTATGGTGTATTGTTTATGGTATAATTTTACAGGTATGTATGTGTGTAGGTTGTACGTGTTGTGTATTGGTACGTTTGTATGAGTTGGCGTTGGGATTCTGTGTTGTTCTATACCAAAGTACCGGGTAAAATAAAATGTTGGTACAATGTAACACGCTGGTAATAATGGAAGAAATCAGGTTAAAGCTTGTTTAGCTCATCGCTGATAATATCTCTTACACATTTTAGGGACCAATGTTTTTTCTTTAAAGTTTCTTGTTTTCAGTGCATTTAAAAGCTTATTAAAAGGTATGGGACGACGTGGCCTAGCGGTAGAGCGCTAGACTGCAACCCGAAAGTCTCGAGTTCGAATCATCCAGTTTCAAGTCACTAGAACAACTCCGAGTCCACTCAGCTCTGATGGGTACCTAACTCAGGTTAGGGAATGTTAAGGCGGCTGGGCATAGTGCTGAGCACACTATTCTTTTATATGCTGAGGTTAAAGAAACAGGTGAACTCTACTTCACTTACCCGATGGACCGTCAGTTTCGAAAAGGCATTTGTATTTTACTTATTATAAAGGTTTCCTTATATTTGTTTTATTTTTTACATAGATTGCTAAATTCAGTGGTTGTCTGTGTATGAAACTGGGTAGTTTTTGAGAATGTTTTTGTTTAGGTTTCTGCAAAATAAAAACTATATAAAAAATTAAATGTGTCAGAAGTGAGGCGTCCTGGCAGGATTGTGCGGTTAGGTGCCAATATTTCCATATCGGTTACCTTAGTAACTACGATCTGTTGTTTTGGCGACCTGCACAGGGGTCAGGGGCTATATTTGATACAACGGTCAAACTTCACCAGGTGCAACCACACCATCAGCACTCCACCCTCGGGTGATCCAGAGAAACTCCAGGCTCCCCAATGAGCTTTATGGCGTGCTTATTTGTTTTAAAGAGCACCCTACACCAGAGACACGTCGGGCTACTACGTTCGATGACTAAACCGAACCAGGGGTCACACCTGGCGACCTTGCTGTAGTGTAACCCGTGGCTCCCAAAAGCGCCCAGCTACGTCCCTGACATCAGGGCGGTCGCAGAGGTGTGTTCCATCTCAGTATTAGGAAAGGTGATTAACGTACACTCAAGGCTTTCATACAGCACGCACTGAAGCGCCTGGGCGTCAGTGTGGACCAACCGGCGCCCGAACAAATAAAATACAAGCAATATAACGCCCGCTATGTTTGCATTTAAATAACTCACATTTAAAATAAACCGGGAGTGATCTCCCCTAAACGTTCTCGAATTTTCTTATATAAAACAACAGGGGATGGGAACTCGGGAAATAGACATGATTTTTAATAAATTTTTTATTACTTAAACTTTTTAAATAGAATAGAATCTCATAAAAAAAGAATTGCACAACTAGTGAACCCAAAACAAAATGTGTATTATAGTAAGGAATATTATTAGTACTTTGTAAATTCACATGCGTTTTTTGAGAAATCGGAAATAGCGTAAATTACTACTTCCAGTCAACCGAAATTACTCAAAATTTGAAAGATTGCAGAGAATTAGATGTTTAACTTACATGTGAAATTTCATTTATCTATCTAAAATAGTACTCAAGTTATAGGCTTTTAAAAAATTTAAAGTAAAAAAAAATCCATTTCCGGTTATCGGAAATCGCTCAAACGCTAATAAGAATCTACGATTTTGATATAATACTTATATATGAAATTTCATCAACCTAGATTTAACTGTACTCACGTTATCGTGTTTACAGACACTCTCTCACACACACACACACACACGTACAGACACGGACATACGGACAAGATTGCAAAACTATGTTTTTCCAACTCAGGGAGGTGTGAAACGTCGAGATTTGCAAAAATCTCGATTTTTTATTTACGATTACAAGACTTTCCTATACTTCATAAATACGAGAAAGTAAAAAAGGCCACGCGTCTAAAAAAAAAAAGACGTGTATAATGTATCACTCAAACCCTTATAAAACGTTTCGTGTGGGACTTGATCGTACGGGTACCCTAGATTTATAAATAGATCGACACCACAATGAACGCTTGCGCGCAATGATTCATCACGCAATAACTGATCGTTCTTTAAACGCAACATTGGCCATTGGCTCCCTTAGCCAGGTGTATAGATTTCTTTAAAGCTACTATACACACTCGCAATAAGAACTAGAACTCGTGTCAGTCAAGCACTTCAACCAAAGTATAAAGTCACAGATGTAATATCTTGGTTTTAGTTCAGCCAAAATTGTATAGCGTGAAGAGTGCATTGAGAGATTTGTGTGCGATAAAATCAATTGCCATTTTCCAGGAAATTTGTCTTTTTCGGGGAGTTGTGGACAAAGAAGAAAGAATGAAGTAAGGTTTAGCAAATACTGACGTTTTAATTTAGTTAATCAATATATATTCTACGTACTTGTGCAGTGGTAGATGGTTAGTGGTCACGTTCACACGTGACACAGTGGTCAGTTGTCAAGTTCGCACGATATACAATGGTTCACCCGTGTCTCAAAAATGGTCAGTTGTCACGTTCAAATGTGACTCACAATGGTCAGTAGTCACGTTCACACGTGATAGCGGTCAGTTGTCAAGTTCACACGTGATAGTGGTCAGTTGTCACGTTCACACGTGACAAATTGGTCAGTAGTCACGTTCACACGTGATAGTGGTCAGTTGTCACGTTCACACGTGATAGTGGTCAGTTGTCACGTTCAGACGTGATAGTGGTCAGTTGTCACGTTCACACGTGATAGTGGTCAGTTGTCACGTTCACACGTGATAGTGGTCAGTTGTCACGTTCACACGTGATAGTGGTTAGTTGTCACGTTCACATGTGACACATTGGTCAGTAGTCACGTTCACACGTGATAGTGGTCAGTACTCACGTTCACATGTGACACATTGGTCACAAGTCACGTTCACATGTGACATATTGGTCACAAGTCACGTTCACATGTGACAGAGTGGTCAGTTGTTAAGCTCACCCGTGTCTCACCTTGTTCAGTAATTATGTTCACATGTAAATCTTAAATAACCAACTTCTCCTCAATTCAGTGCAGCTTGTAGTTTCAGTCACCATATGTGACAGTGATAGACAGCTGATTCATTCAGCAAAGGCATGGTGTACTTACTCACCGAGTACACATTAAACCGTGCTTAGAGTGTGTGAAAGGGTAAAAGGTAATCTTTTTAAAATTTCCGTTTATACAATGAAAAGCTTGATAGAATGTTTTTAAATTTTCAAATTGTTAGTTTTTCAAAACCTGCTTGATTGTAAATTGAAGGATCAGGCTTACACATGTCTTAATTAAAACATTTTTAAAGTTTTTACAATTATTTTACTGGATAGGTAATCTGCGTTTTTTTTTGTATAAAATAGTCAATGAGAAATTAATAAATGAGTTACCTAGATAAAGTATTTGACAAAAATTATATTCCAAAAATAAGTTATGTCTGTTTTTATGACTAGCTTTAAAAGTCTTTTTCTGGTATTTAACTTTGTGCCAGAGCTATTTCTTGATAGATTCATTCATGCAAGTGACCTAATTCAACCCCAGGCTATTTATATGATCTAAACCAGCGCTTCATCTAAGAATTTCTCCCGCGGTGGTGGGGGGGGGGGGGGTGGCATGGAGCTCACCTCACGGTAGGAGCACGTCCACACACCCCAGACAAAATTGAAAACATATCATTAACATATAGAAAATATGTACTTTAACCCGTGTCTGATTCTGTATTCTTCGTGTCAGGCAGGCACACTTACATGTTTACACAGAGTCTGAGCTTACTATTCTTCCTTATATCACGCTCCTTCACCTTCCTATCCCTCCACCCCCCGACCGTCACTTTTATAGCCTTCAGTGGATGATGATCTTTGTATCATGCCTCACGCAACATGCTGCAAGCGAATGCCTGATGACGGACGACAGATGCGAGTTTTGGCTGGTCATCGAGCAGAAGCTGACCATGATGTACGGCAAGGAGCTTGTCTACCCTAAAGACGGTCAGATATTTATCAACTCCTCCATCAAATTTGACCCTGATGAGGTCATCACAGCCGATGCCTTTATGGACCCTAAGCTGGTCATCACGGCTAATGGGACAATGCCCGGCCCTCCCATAGAGGTGAGACGGTCAGCTGACATACGGTTTTTGGTATAAATCCAGTCTTCTTTAACTAACTTGTTACGTGGAAGATACTGACAAATTCAATCGTTATTTAAAATAGTAGATCACTATGTAGGCTATGTAAGAGAGAAGTAAATTGATATCTGATATATCAATAAAACTATAAGATTCAAATATAAGTTGATAGGGTTGTCTCTCACAAACTGCGTACAAGGTCAAATCTGAAAAATCCACACTTACCTCTAAACTCACACATCCTAACCTTGGTCCAATTTAACTCTCTCACCAAGATCCCACTAAACCTTAATTAAATTTTCACAAAGTTCCACCGAGTATTAAATTTTACCCCCACAAATCGCCCACTTAGTTCGAACTAAACTCCCATAAATCCAGAGCTAACTTTAAACTCATAAATCCTCTCGTCTTTCGAATAACTCTCAAAAACTCCCAACAAGGTCTAACGTAACTCTCTCTAATCCCCACCTAGTCTTACTTTGAACTGTCACAAATTCCCCACCCAGGTGTATGAGGGCCAGACGATTACAGTTCACGTGAGGAACGATTTGATCAGCGACGCCGTCACGGTCCACTGGCACGGTCTTCACCAGGTGGGGACTCCCTGGATGGACGGGGTGCCCTTCGTCACACAGGTAGGCTGGAGCTGAATATCCTAAGGGCTTATGTTTGCGAAAAATTTCTTTTCTCTTTTAATAAGCTTTTATTTGTGACAAATCTTGTAACGCATTTTTGACCCACTTCTTGTGCAGAGATTTTGTTGAAACATTTAGATACGTACGTCTCCGATAGTAATGCAAGAATTTATATTTTAAATGTAATTAGACTTAAGTTCAGTCATTTAAATTTTATTAAAAGATGGCTAATAAAAGGGAGATAACAAGATTTAATACTAGCTGTTGCTCGATCAATTATTCGACGACGAGAACTATTTTTTCCCCAAGGATGATTGATTTTTTTGCCTGAGCATCGACCACTGACTTAGAAGGGGCAGATCAATATCTTTAGAGATCGTAAGCTACTGATCGATTTTAACGTAAATATATTTCAGTTGTTGTCTAATTGATGTCAACTTCATTTAAAACGAATGACTAGAAAGTAGAAAACAAAATAAAATTTGAAAATCTTTATAATAATAAGCTTTTGAATGCCGATAAAAGAAGTTAAAAAAAACCTTTGATAAAAGCTTTGATCACTAAATATGTAAGATATCTCATAAGCGAAAAAAGCTTTTATTAAAGATATCAAATTAGTCTTATTTTCTTCTTTTCTCTGGAAAAAGCGTATTCTTCTGTAAAGCTATAGGACTCTTATTTTTTAAAAATTTATACCTCTGCTAAATAGTGCCGAACCTTACTAAATTCTAAATTTTAACTACACTTTAACGTATTTTGTTGTTTTCTGCTCCATTCTTGATTTTAGTGCCCAATACTGCCCGGGACAGAGTTCACGTACAAGTTCAAGGCCAGCCCTATAGGCACGTTCTGGTACCACTCACACATGGGGACCCAGCTCTCCTCGGGTCTGTTTGGTGCCTTCATCATCAGGGCCAAGGTCGTCACCAGGGACCCGGAGTTTGTTATGATACTACAGGTACACAGCGTATGTTATGATTCTACAGGTACACAGCGTATGTAATGATACTACAGGTACACAGCGTATGTTATGATACTACAGGTACACAGCCTATGTTATGATACTACAGGTACACAGCGTATGTTATGATACTACAGGTACACAGCGTATGTTATGATACTACAGGTACACAGCGTATGTTATGATACTACAGGTACACCGCGTATGTTATGGATACATTTATTTGTACTAAGGTACTGTGGTTTTTGCATGAAGCTTAGGTCACAAAGTTTAACATTATGTGCTTTGATTTAGGATTATTGAAATTTGTTTATCTACAATGAGATGGAAAAATTGATAATTTGTATTAAGGTACTGTTGTTTGTACATGTAGGTTTTGACGTAAAGGTTGCCAATAGTTGTGTTGATGTTGGCCATCTAAGACTGAACATAACACTAACACTTAACAATATTTGCACAAGTGTACCGTGTTTTATTCATGTAGGACTGGAATCACTTTATGGACGGTGACACCGCCTATTTCAAGATGCAGTATGGCGTCTTCGAAGACGGAAACAGAGTTGCGCCAAGCACGTCATTTGATGGTGGGAAATTCAGGTAAGTGAATCTTAAAGGTAAGAAACCCTGCAGAAAATATACAGAATATTAAGCATGGGTAATTAGAACACACTATACATTATAGGTAAGAAATACACAGAAATTCATAGGCGAAAATGCGGGTAATATAGCATATGCTTCAGATAGCAAAGAACACGATACCAATACGGGCTGTTGTTAATAAATTTTAGGTAAGAAAGGTCAGTGGTTGCTGAAGTAAAGGTAAGAAATACTCGTCTGATATTGTAGGTAAGAAAATATGGAGTTATATTAAAGGTAAGAAACACACGACTTATATATGGAGTAATATGTTAAGATATACACAGGTAAGTAAAGTGTAAATAAGAAACGATGTTCTATGGAAAGTAGGGAAGAAGCAAGCGCCTTCTGTGATATAGGCCACTGACAAGCGCAATATACGCCCTGCCCTACCGTTTTTAACATACTAATAAACCAGGTTCGTGTTTGTAATGGACTGAGTGCATGAAGTCAGTTTTCGTTAAAGATGACTCGTTTTTAACTATAAATATTATGATGGTTTATGTTACAGTTTAGCTTATATTTAATCTCTACCATGTACACTTCTTAACATTATACTTATATCATTATTTTAACAGCTTGTACTACTCTCCGTTTGAAAGATTAAATTCGATTAAACCTTTTTCAAACTATTCTTTCTAGAAACACAGTTTACCAAAACGATATCATTCTTTACATATTCTGCTATAGCATGTTCAAAATCCATTCCGTTTTGGTGAATGGCAAAGGACGATTTAATGGTACCAAGGCACCCTTAGCTGTTTTTGAAGTGGATACACATCAGAAATACAGGCGAGTTTAAAGTTCAATGTTAACTAATCAATTTTTTATAACAATCATTACCATATGTTCTAAATTGATTTATGGAGAATAACTACTACAGATGTTAACGAGTATTGTTGTTTTAATTAACCTTTTTTTTTACTGAAATAAGTACTAAATGAATATTTTTCCTCAACACTGTGTTATTATATTGCTTTTGGTAAAATTAAAGTATAAGTGGAAGGAAAATTAGTTTCGTAAATTTTTAATAGCCCAAATAAAGATTGGTACTTATTAGTCCGTTAGAACTGTAGGTCATTTTTCCAAAAAAAAATTACTAAACAGTAACAAACCATAAAATTTATGAACTATTAACGTGGCAAGCATTATAGCAATCATTCTTTTATTAATAATATTGTTGTTTTTAAATTTAATAGGTTTAGAGTAATAGGAGCTGCAAATAACTATCCATTTATTGTGTCCGTTGATCAACACACTCTTGAAATTAGAGCTAGTGATGGGTAAGTGATCTACTGTATTACCTGTGTATGGAGATAGGTAATCCAGTATGTTACCTATCTCATGGAGGTGGGTAATCCAGTATGTTACCTGTTTATGGAGGTGGGTAATCCAGTATGTTACCTGTGTATGGAGGTGGGTAATCCAGTATGTTAGCTGTGTATGGAGGTAGGTAATCCAGTATGTTACCTGTGTATGGAGGTGGGTAATCCAGTATGTTACCTGCTGTATGGAGGTGGGTAGTCCTGTATGTTACTGTGTATTGGGGTGGGTAATCCTGTATGTTACCTTTCGTATGGAAGTGGTGTAATCTAGTATCTTACCTGACTTATGGAGGTGTGTTATCCAGTATGTTATTTTTTATGCAGGTGGGTAATACACTTAATTACCTGTCGTATGGAGATGGGTAATCCAGTATGTTATCTGTGTATGGTAATCCACCATATTACCTGTGTCTGGAGTTTGGTAATCAAACGTTACCAGTTATATGGAGGTTACTAATCCAGTAAGAGCCTGCGAACCTAACTGCCAATGTCTCTGCCCCCAGCTATCTCATCCACCCACGATTAGTGGACTCCTTCATCATCAACCCCGGAGAACGTTACGACTTTGTAATAAAAACTGACCAGGCTAATTTAAAGAACTACTGGATCAGGGTTCAGAGTCTGGAGAACAACACTCGTACCACAGGCTGGGCTATTCTACGATACAGAGGCGCAGCAGAAGAAGACCCTTATTCACAGCCGAGGCTTTGCACCAAAACTGATTTGTAAGTTGTAGTCTGACAAAAACTGCTTTTCAGAAATACGCGCAGAATAAAAAATGCACTTGCGCAAAAATGCCCATTTTAATTATTTCTTTTTTGTAACTTAATTTCCTTATTTAAAATGTTGACGAATTTCAGCGCTGGTATACACTTAAACAACCAGTTAACTAAATTATATTAGAGAAAACCTATTTTAAATATTTATAATAGATTTATTGTATTAGTTTTATCTGATGTGTACACGTTTAGGCGCTCTTTTCTTGTAGAAAAAAAAGTTCCTTGACTCATTTGATAAAACTTTTTATTGATACACCTAAGCTATCTACTTATTTATTTGCCGCGGTAAAAAAAAAAGGTGAACTCTACTTGATTTGCCCTAGAAAACTTATAGAATCTCATAGGTTAATAATGTCAAAATCACTATTGTTTTGGTGTATATATTAAAGATAATCGTAGAAGGCTTTATAGCCATGAGGAAACTTCTTTTACTCTTTTTTCGTTCCCAGCTGCCATGTCCTCAACTGCCCGTTTACATACTTCCCGCTAAGAGAACACAAAGTCTGTGTGAACTTTGACCGGATCAAATCTTCCAAATCCAGCAATCCACCAGGGAAAAACACGTATGAAAAAATTGAGGAAATTTTCCTAAACTTTGCTTTTCCGGGGAAAGGAGGTGTAGTGCCAGGATCTGTCAACGGTCGCAGGTTTCAGGTTGTTGTTGTTGTTGTTGTTAGAATGTAAACATGTAGAGGGGGGTGGAATGTTAGAATGTACTAACTATTCAGTTAAAGAGTAGGAACCATAAGCGTTAGCTTAATTTGATTCACCAGAGTAGCGTGGAATGTAGAAGTACAGGTACATTGTGAGGAGGGAAACGCAGTATGAAGCAGAGGCAAAGCGGGGGGGGGGGGGGGGGGGGGGGGACGACGGACATATGTCCCCGGGCGCCGACCTTAGGGGGCGCCAAAATGGGTTGGAAATACAAATTGAAAGTTTTGGGGGGGGGGGGGTCGCAAATCGAAAGTTTGTCCCCGGGCGCCGGGAAAGGTCGCTACGCCTCTGGTATGATGGTAATGTGACGTATTGTGCGGAAGCGTGATCTTGTGTGTTGGAGTAGGAGGTAGTGTGTGGGAATGTGATGTAGTATCTGTGTAATATGACGTAATACGTGGGATTGCTAAGTTCAATCAAATGCCCATCTAGAAACATGTTTTCGGCAAACTGCATTCAGGGAAGTGAGCATTTGTCATAGACCTATATCTACTTGGTAACATTTTGTAAACATAAGTATTTAGAAAAATACTTTTCTAATTTGTAAAATATTTTTGTGTTTAACTCTAGCGGTCATCCATAATTGAAGACATGCAATTTTTTACTCCTAATGTATTACAGTTTCCCCCTGTGACAGCCCTAACTGACCCTAAAAGTGTGACCACCTACTGCAAACCTGGCCAGTGTGATGAGGAAGAACTGTGTAACTGTACCTACAGCATCAACCTCAAGGTAAGAAAGATTCGTAACTGTACGTATAGCATCAACCTCAGGGTAAGAAAGATTCGTAACTGTACCTACAGCACAACCTTAGGGTAAGAAAGATTCGTAACTGTACCTACAGCACAACCTCAGGGCAAGAAAGATTCGTAACTGTACCTACAGCATCAACCTCAGGGTAAGAAAGATTCGTAACTGTACCTACAGCATCAACCTCAGGGTAAGAAAGATTCGTAACTGTACCTACAGCATCAACCTCAGGGTAAGAAAGATTCGTAACTGTACGTATAGCATCAACCTCAGGGTAAGAAAGATTCGTAACTGTACCTATAGCACAACCTCAGGGCAAGAAAGATTCGTAACTGTACCTACAGCATCAACCTCAGGGTAAGAAAGATTCGTAACTGTACCTACAGCATCAACCTCAGGGTAAGAAAGATTCGTAACTGTACCTACAGCATCAACCTCAGGGTAAGAAAGATTCGTAACTGTACCTACAGCATCAATCTCAGGGTAAGAAAGATTCGTAACTGTACCTACAGCATCAATCTCAGGGTAAGAAAGATGTGTAACTGTACATACAGCATCAACCTCAGGGTAAGAAAGATTCGTAACTGTACCTACAGCACAACCTTAGGGTAAGAAAGATTCGTAACTGTACCTACAGCATCAACCTCAGGGTAAGAAAGATTCGTAACTGTACCTACAGCATCAACCTCAGGGTAAGAAAGATTCGTAACTGTACCTACAGCATCAACCTCAGGGTAAGAAAGATTCGTAACTGTACCTACAGCATCAATCTCAGGGTAAGAAAGATTCGTAACTGTACCTACAGCATCAACCTCAGGGTAAGAAAGATTCGTAACTGTACCTACAGCATCAATCTCAGGGTAAGAAAGATTCGTAACTGTACCTACAGCATCAATCTCAGGGTAAGAAAGATGTGTAACTGTACATACAGCATCAACCTCAGGGTAAGAAAGATTCGTAACTGTACCTACAGCACAACCTTAGGGTAAGAAAGATTCGTAACTGTACCTACAGCATCAACCTCAGGGTAAGAAACATTTGTGCCTGTACCTACAGCATCAGACATTAAGGTACAAAAGATCTGTAACTGTACCTACACCATCAACCCCTCAATGTAAGTTTGGTCGGTACTGTACTTGGAGAATCAGTCTCAGTGAAGAAAGAAACTGCTTCACACTCGATCTTTCTATTTATGAAACAGTAAAGAAATCATTCAACAGCCTCCAATTCTGTGCTGTTATATTTAACAAGAGCTTGTAGACTTGCTGAGGTCGGAGGTTAGGGACACACAAGAACAAATGTGTTTTCAGTTCATAGTATGTATCAATACAGGAATGACAGTATTGATAATAAAAATGTATTACTCAATATTTAAGTAATATTATTCAAGTTTTTATTAGTGTTAAAAGCAGACTTAATTATAAATTATATTTAATTTTTGAAGTGTTTTAAATTTTAATCTTTAATACAACGTTTTGATGATCAAAGAGAAACAATAAATAGCATGCACTGTATTTAAAAAGCTGACGCATTTTAATTGGTTCGTAGTACAATACCACATATCAAATGGTGCTACTGAACAAAGGAGCAGGAAGGGGTTGGACTCACCCCATACATTTACATGGTCACTCCTTTTACCTCGTCAAAATGGGATATCCAGAGTATGACAAAGTAACAGGTAATTTCATTTACTAACATGTGTACATATATTTTTATTTTCAACAACCACAAATTTAACATTAATCATTGTTGGAATATATTAATTTATTTACTTGTTTATTTCAAATTATTTACAAATTATTTACTGTACTAAAATTCTTTTGAACATTATAACAAATTTTGAACAAACTTGGCCACATTTTTTACTATAAATAAAGCAAATACAAAAACATTTATAATAAAACTAACTTGCAATCTTTAATATAAGCTTTGGTCTCTAAAGTATGTTTGAATTTAAAGCTAGACTTACCATTTTTTAATGTTATCAATCTTTAAACAGTTGTTAAGTAACAAAATGAAGTATTAGTCCTGCTTAAGTGAAATGTATTTTTCATAACAAAAAGTACTGTGTCTGGAAAATTGTGTCTATAACGGTTAATATGTTAATGTTTCAATGTTATTTTTTTAAGGTTTATTTGTGAGTGAAAACACGGACATCAACTGCACACGTAACTCCTCACTTGAGAACAGTTTCTGTAACAAAGCATTTTGGGCTAACTCCACATGGGGAGGTAACAACATTGACGGAATTGACCTGGATTATCCCCCAATGAAAGACACTATCATTGTGCCAACCGGCGGGTAGGTTCTCCTTAAATTCCAGTATTTTCTAATCCTGACGTACCAAATATACTATACAGTCACACAGCGATTATCTACATCAGTAAACTAACTGGAAACGTTTCAAACAATTTTCGTGAGTATCATAGATCAAACAGTTGTATGGCAAATGCATGACGTCATAATTAAATCTGGTCGCGTTAAATTCACCATGATGATTTCTTTAGACACGTTGTGAAGCGCAGGGACACAACCACACCTCTCCATCGTACTCGATTCTTGGTTATGTTAATAGTTGTATGATTATGTTGCTTGCTTCATGATAACGTCTTTTGCTTCTTACTTATTGTTCCCAGCTTTATGGTTAAGTCGCTACTTTTATATTATGTTCCCTGCTTTATCTTTGCATTTTGCTGGATAATGAATAACCAGCTTCTATATAATTACTTCCCCTACTTCATGATTATATCCCCTGACTTCAGGTACGCTGTGATCCGTATCAGGGCCAACAACCCAGGCGTGTGGCTCATGCACTGTCACATTGAGCTGCACCACGTCAACGGGATGGCGCTCATGTTCAACGAATCGTTTGGAAAACACCCCAAAGTCCCACCAGATTTCCCCAAGTGCCGGGACTACAACTCTGTCGCGTCGTCCCTTGCTTTAGGTAAGATCTTACTTACAGTGGCGTAGCAAGGATTTGGTATGATCTTATTTACAGTGGCGTAGCTTGGTTTAGGTATGATCTTACAGTGGCGTAGCTAGGATTAGGTATGATCTTATTTACAGTGGCGTAGCTTGGTTTAGGTATGATCTTACAGTGGCGTAGCTAGGATTAGGTATGATCTTATTTACAGTGGCGTAGCTTGGTTTAGGTATGATCTTACAGTGGCGTAGCTAAGTTTAGGTATGATTTTACAGTGGCGTAGCTAAGTTTAGGTATGATCTTACAGTGGCGTATCTAGGTTTAGGTAAGATCTGACATGCAGAGGTGTAGCTAAGTTTAGGTAAGATGTCACTGAAAACGAATGCTGCAGTGGCGTAGCTAGGTTAAGTGGGATCTGTCTAAGTATTAGGTGTGAGATTTAAAAAAAAATTACTCTGTAGATATACAGAATCGTTTTGTTTAACAGTCAAGTGATATGAACTGGGTTTTCGTGGGAAATATTTTGTCAGAACAACTGACGCGATGTATCATTTTTTTTTAAATGTCAAGTTATATATAAGCAAAAACGTTAGACTTACAATCAGTTTAATTTTTAAAGTAAATCGGGTTCGAACTAAATTCAAATTAAAGATAAATGTTGCTAGTGAAATGACTAAAGTTTTCTGTGATTGGTTGGTAGTGAAGCTACGCCATTACTGGCTAATTTGGGGGATTTTTTTAATATGCCTCTACTCCCTAGTGTTAGTGTTAAAATTAGAATTTGAGTCCGCAAAATATAGGGATAGACCAAGGTCTAGGCTTAGGGTAGAAATACTTTAAAACAATGGTCTCGAGTCCATCTTTAGATATTTTTATTTTATTTCTTCCACAGAAAACATTATACTGGTTGTTTGTTTCTGTATACAGTTGATCTTCGACAGGCTTTAATGTTGTATGTGTGTTTGTATATAACTGAGCATTGATATTATCCAGCTGTCGCAAGTGAATGTAACATTTTAATTATTAAGTAGCCTATGTGTTTGTTTATTTATTTTGTTACAAACCTAGTCGTGTACATGGCGTAATATCTAGTGTGGTGAGGTAAAGTCGTGTGCGTGACGTAATATCTAGTGTGGTGAGGTAAAGTTGTGTGCGTGACGTAATATCTAGTGTGGTGAGGTAGTGTCGTGTGCGTGACGTAATATCTAGTATGGTGAGGTAAAGTTGTGTGCGTGACGTAATATCTAGTGTGGTGAGGTAAAGTCGTGTGCGTGACGTAATATCTAGTGTGGTGAGGTAAAGTTGTGTGCGTGACGTAATATCTAGTGTGGTGAGGTAGTGTCGTGTGCGTGACCTAATATCTAGTGTGGTGAGGTAAAGTCGTGTGCGTGACGTAATATCTAGTGTGGTGAGGTAAAGTCGTGTGCGTGACGTAATATATTGTGTGGTGAGGTAAAGTTGTGTGCGTGACGTAATATCTAGTGTGGTGAGGTAAAGTCGTGTGCGTGACGTAATATCTAGTGTGGTGAGGTAAAGTCGTGTGCGTGACGTAATATCTAGTGTGGTGAGGTAAAGTTTTGTGCGTGACGTAATATCTCGTTCGGTGAGGTAAAGTCGTGTGCGTGACGTAATATATTGTGTGGTGAGGTAAATCTAATGTGTTGAGTAAAAAAGTGCGTGTGGCTAGATATTTTGAGGTGTTCGTGAAATCTTGAGTGATGAGTGAAAACTTGTGTGTGGCAAGACATTTTGAGGGATGCGTGCGATCCTGTATGGTTCGTAAACTCAAGAGGTGTATAAACTCATTGTAGGTCGTGAATTCATCATGAGTGATGCTTGACAATTTTGTGCATGGCATGCAAACTTTAAGACCAGTATGAAAAAAATTGAAGTATCACAATGTCGCAATAGATTTGAATGAAAGATGCACAATCTCAAGACGTTGACATTTCATGCCTATCATGTATTTAAAAAAGATCATTATTCCGTCAGAATTAATTAACGTTACATTGCAGGTGTCTGGTTAACACAAAGTAAATACAAAAATATTTTGTTTAAGAAACCTATCTTCACATTAAATAAATGATGTATTCATTGCATTTTAAACTTACTAGATAGTAATCGATATGGTTACATTTTCATATTATATTTTAATTAATAATTTTAATTTGAAAATTGTAGGCACAATAAAAGATATCATGTTTGAAAATTCCCTTTTTAAGCCAAGTTTTTGTGTCTTAACAAAAAGCCGAGGTCTTAGTGTTTTTTCAACAAGTTTTTGCCTGTTTTTGTTTTTTTTTAAATTAATTTCTGCAACAAAAATCTTGAGTTGTTTTTTTAATCAAGATAAAATTCACTTAAGTATTATTTATTTTTTTAGTAAACAATGAATTTATTTCAAACAGACATATCCATTCGCATATTTTCGCTAGTGATTTGGCAAGTAGCTGTGTTGGCCTTTCAGCCTGAGACGAGATGTCAAATTGTACATTGTGGCTATGTGCTCCACGTTCCCTGCTCATGTCGTGGCGACTGTGTCCTTTTGAAAACCTGCTGTAAACATTTCGAGAACGATTGTCCCGAACTCTACAAAAACCCAATGGCACTATACGAGAGATTCCTTCACCATGATTTTACCTGTTCCAATAACGAATTCGCCATGATTTCTTCTTGCCTGATTCCACCAGATCATACCGAAAGACGGAGCGGGATCAATGCACAGGTCACAGAACCTAATACAAAGGTCGTCTCCGAGCCTGCTAGAAGTACTTCCGGTTTTTCTTTATCAAATAACGTCACATTACTTACGGCTTTAGAGAAAAGTCCCGTCACTGACACCGATACCGGTATCGTGTTTCAAAACATGTCCGTGTATCGATGCAACATGAATTCGAGTACACATTTTAAGTTATGGGAGCCGATTCTACCTCGGAGTATGGTATTAGAAGATGATAATATGAAGCCTAAAGACGATCAGATTTCTATCGAAGCACTCGTATACTTACCACCACCATCATTTTCACTGCATCCTAATTGCATACCTAATTTGATTCAGACGTGCAATAATTCAAGCGAATCAGACAAAGATATTGAACTCCTGTGTTTGAATCATACAAACTACGTGTACACGGAAAAAAATGGTACCAAATCCTTCTATCGCAATCTGTACTGTTACTTCTGTAACGGCGGCAACAACGACACGGTGTATAGCAAAGATACCTTCACTCCTGACAGGATACGTTTAAAAATAACCTTTAACCTCCTGGACGAGAGAAGGCTAGTTCTGACATCCCACGAGGTCGACCAAGGCGTAGCCACGTGGACTCAGGCGGTTTGCCACATAGGACAACTAGAAAATCTGGACAATATTTTTGACAATAACACCTGCAAGGTTCTGAGCTGTATGCAAGATTATTCTCTACGGGCAGACGGAAGATGTAAACAGTTAAGGCCCCTAAGTATTGCTCTACAAGAAGACGATTTTGATTTCTCTGCGACCGAACTACTTCAGCTACCCGTGTTGTTGGCTTGCTTGGCGAAGGACCCTTTGTGTCTGGATGTTGAAACAATCGAACAGACAGAATTTATTTTTAATGAAAGAAGAAACATGACAATGGCTGCTGGTCAAATGATGATTTACGCAGATCAAAAAGATGTCGTTGAAGAGAGGACCTTGGCGTTGGCTGTTTACCTAGCAGCTTACAGAGATTCCAGGATCAAATCCCGTGAGATGATTCACCAAGAAGATAATCATTTCTCTTTCAACATTTTGAAGAGATATAAAAAAATTGACATAGTACAATACACCGTGTTGAATTACTCGCTACATGCTGGGGTGCAGTTTGGTAATTTTTCCTTTTGTTACATGTTTGGTGGCTTGTTTACGTGTGTAGAGAACTACACCTACGTTACTCAACCTGCACTGAATGACCCAGCAAGTCACAGGTGTTTTCAATATTTTAATCAATCGCGTCTAAACAAAATATCAATTCGTGATTTGATTTCCATCTTAGTAATGCTCTTCATTTTATACTAAGCATATAATGTGTAGTGGTCTACAGTTACAAATGTAGGCTCGCTATCAGCACATTTCTGATTTATTATGTTCGTTCTAATCAAATCTTAGTATTGGAAACACTTGTATTTATGTTTTCTCTGTTTTATTTAAACCTAATATAGTAAATTATTTCAGCTTTCAATATTTTGGGTCTAGCTTTAGTATGAAAAAGCCTATGTGCTAAATATTATATTAAAATTTCTGAATAATTCGTTTCAAAGCAAAACTAATTTACTATTAAAGGAACTATTTTTTTACAAAAAAAAAAACAACAAAATTTAGGAAATTTGCGCATTATTTTCACTAAAAGATATTTGTTATAAAATAATTGAGGTACCTTTGTGTTGGTGTTGTTTTTGTGTAGGTGTAAAATCCTTTAACATATAAGTTTGCTTTCAATACCATTGTACTTTATCGTTAATCACTTATTTGATGTATTCATACGCATCGAAGTACCGTTACGGTTTAACATAATGACCGGCCCAGTCAGATACATTTAAAATTGTCAAGGATATGTCTGCCTCTTGGTAAAAAAACAAACAATCCCCCAATAAAAAATCCATTGATACGTGACGTCATACCCTCAACCCCACTTCTAATCTCTTGGTAAAAAAACAAAACCACCCCCACCCCCTTAGACATAAGCAACAAGACCTAAACACTCGAAAAATAAAATCACTTGACTCGTGACGTAACACCCTCACCCTCCCCCTTAATCCCGAAGCAACAATGCTCTTCCCCTTTCAAGTTTAAAGAAAGAAAAACAAAAATTGATATTACCGAAAATTTGTTCGTGGTGGTAAAAAAATTAGAAATCACTATATTCATTGAAATAAATGTTTTCGTCTTCTTTTTATTAAAGATTTAAATTTACTGATACTGGCCCGAAAACATCTGTTCTGGTCGAAGTTTCCGCGCTCCCTAGGGATTTCGTCCTAGTGATTCATGATACATATTTTGATCTCCGGTCACCCTAGTGACATAAAATTTTAAATAGTCTAATTACTTTATATCAATTTTTTTTCGCAGCCTGTGAACAAATTTATCGCAGGAGATTTGTTTATTCTTGATGAGTAATGACATGCCATTATTGTACGTTCCATTGTCGTATAATTGTTGTAAAGAAATAAAAGTTAATGAAAATATGTGTTTATATGTCTTATTAATTAAGGCATTACCGTAAATTCACTTTGTTCCACTGTTTTTTTTTTTAAAGAATGAAAAATTGTTGTTATTATTTGTATTATCGCTTTAGTCGCTTTGTTAAAATTATAGCTTTATTGGTATTATAATAATACTAGCACCATTAGCGCTAGGGTTTCAAACTAGGACCCATCAAATACTTTTTGCACCATTGTTGTGTTTAATTTCTGAGTTGATTTTCTGCTGGCGTCTACCTCTTATTACATTACGTTTTTAAGCCAATTTAATTCCTTAGTCGAATATGAATAAATTAAAATAATCGATGAACTGAAATATTAAAGATACCAATTAAATTGCTGCCCATTGTGACAGTCTCCGGCAGAAAAGGCTCGTCTGCTGGGAACAGCAACCAATCTACGAGAGATAACACCGAAATCAAAACAAGAGTGAAACCCCTTTGTCGAAAGTATTACCATCTCGTTTCCTTTCGGTAGCTTCTGCAACACTGCTGATTCCAGGCTGTACAGGTAACGTCCTGTCCCTCGGGTCTGTCAGTTGTGAGGAGAGAGGGGTCTGATACATGGACAACATCTGGCTCTTCTTATCTTACTGCCCAGGCATTGCGCCTTCCGAATGTATGTGCAATCATCAAATCTATCAGAATACGTTGTCATTCATTTTTTTTTTACATTTTACACTCTGTGATTGTGTTTGATAATAGGGAACAGAATGCGAGAAGGGGATAGAAGTTAGAACAGGACTGTTGTTGTTTATAAATTATATTTTGTTC